GGGTCCAGGGCACCCATGGGTGCTCCCCGTTGGGTGGTGGCATCTCAGGGGCTTCCAGATCTTCTCTCCAGCGCCTCCCCATGACTTCAGGTTGCTCCCAGTTGGGTGGAGGCATCTCCAGGGCTCCATAACCACCTCCAAACCCCCTCTCCAGACCTCCCCATGGCTCCTGGTGTCTTCCAGTTGGGTGAAGGCATCTCAAGGGCTTCCATATCTCCTCTCCAGCACCTCCTGTTGACTATTGGTCACTCCCAGTTGGGTGGAGGCATCTCAAGAGCTCCATAACCACCTCCAAACCCCCTCTCCACGGCTGTTGGTTGCTCCCAGTTGGGTGGAGGCATCTCAAGGGCTTCCGTATCTCCTCTCCACTGCCTCCCCTTGAGTCCTGGTGTCTTCCAGTTGAGTGGAGGCATCTCCAGGGCTCCATAACTACCTCCAACCCCCCCACCCAGGGCTCCAGAGCACCCAGGGGTCCTCCCAGTTGGATGAAGGCATCTCAAGGGCTTCCGTATCTCCTCCCCACCACCTCCCCTTGAGTCCTGCTGTCTTCCAGTTGGGTGTAGACATCTCTAGGGCTCCACAACTACCTCCAAACCCCCTCTTACCCCCTCCTACCCCCCAACCCAAGAGTCCAGAGCACCCATGGGTGCCCCTCCACTCTAGTTGAGGAAGCGTCGGCAGCGCTTGGCCCCGCAGTTGCAGGGCAGTTTGGCGGCGGGTTCCTCGATGGGGAACTTGTAGTCGTAGGTGAGCTCCTCCCCCCGCAGGATGCGGCGCAGGGCGAAGATGACGATGCGCTTGTGGCCTTCCACGTGGATGACGCGGGAGTAGCAGTTGGGCTCGCAGGAGTGGTTGATGAAGCGGGCGGCGCTGCCGTGCATGGTGGCGTCCACCACCTCCGCCTCGTCGATGCGGAACATGTAGCAGCCGATGCCCTGGGGTGGGGTGGGGTGGGGTGGAGAAGACCGAAAAAGAAAGGGAGGTGAGATTGGGTGGTTGGTGGTGGTGGGGAATGGTCTCCGTGGGGTGGGGAGGTGAAGGGGGGGAGGGCATCATTGGGGTGGGGACACCATGATGGGACGTCAGGATGGGATGGAGACACCACCAGGGGATGTCATCATGGGATGGGGACACCACCAGGGACATCCTGATGGGATGTAGACACCACCAGGGGATGGAGACACCATGAAGGGACATCATCATGGGATGGGGACACCATGAAGGGACATCATGAAGGGATGGGGACACCATGATGGGATGGGGACACCATGAAGAAACATCATGATGGGATGGGGACACCATCATGAGATGGGGACACCATCATGGGTTGAGGACATCGTGATGCGGTGGGGACACCATGAAGGAACATCATGATGGGATGGGGACACCATGATGGGACGTCATCATGGGATGGGGACACCATGATGGGGTGGGGACACCATGAAGACATGTCATGATGGGATGGGGACACCATGATGGGACGTCATCATGGGATGGGGGCACCATCAAGGAACATCATGATGGGATGGGGACACCATGAAGGGATGGAGACACCATGAAGGGACATCCTGATGGGATGGGGACACCATGAAGGGATGGAGACACCATCAAGGGATGGGGACACCATGATGGGATGGGGACACCATGATGGGATGACACCATGGGATGGAGACACCATCAAGGGACGTCATCATGGGATGGGGACACCATCAGGGGATGAGGACACCATCATGGGATGGAGACACCATGAAGGGACGTCAGGATGGGATGAGGACACCATCAAGGGATGGGGACACCATGAGGGGACATCATCATGGGATGGGGTCACCACCAGGGGATGGGGACACCATGAAGGGACGTCAGGATGGGATGTGGACACCATCATGGGACATCATGATGGGGTGGGGACACCATGAAGACACGTCATGATGGGATGGGGACACCATGATGGGATGACATCATGGGATGGGGACACCATCAAGGGACATCCTGATGGGATGGGGACACCATGAAGGGATGGAGACACCATGATGGGACGTCAGGATGGGATGGGGACACCATGAAGACACGTCATGATGGGATGGGGACACCATCAAGGGACACCATGATGGGATGGGGACACCATCAAGGGATGTCATCATGGGATGGGGACACCATGAAGGGACACCCCGATGGGATGGGGACATGAAGCACCCGATGCCCCAGGAGATGGGGACACGATCCCTGAGCAGATGATGCCCCACGTCCCCATGGGGTCTCCACGTCCCCAGGGACCACCAGGGGTGACCCCAGTGTGTCCACAAGGTGCCCCTGAGATCCCACCTCCCTCTTGACCTTCTCCCGATCCTCAACGAGCCCCAGGAGGATCCCACCCCACGTCCCCATGGGGTCTCCACGTCCCCAGGGGCCACCGGGGGTGACCCCAGTGTGTCCCTAAAGTGTCCTCAAGGTGTCCCCGAGGTGTCCTCAAAGTCCCTGAGATCCCACCTCCCTCTTGACCTTCTCCCAATCCTCAGCGAGCCCCAGGGGGATCCCACCCCACGTCCCCATGGGGTCTCCACGTCCCCAGGGGCCACCGGGGGTGACCCCAGTGTGTCCCTAAAGTGTCCTCAAGGTGTCCCCGAGGTGTCCTCAAAGTCCCCGAGATCCCACCTCCCTCTTGATCTTCTC